ACACAAAAACATATAAATTACTAATTAAAACAAAATCTAGTGTTAACCGCATAGTCAAAATGCCAATTTCACAATGGGAAGGACTGCTCAAAATAGACGGAAAAAGAAATTTGTTTTTGAATTTTTTTAAATTTCGGACATCCGGATTGCTAACCCCCCCCCCCTGTCCCACTATGCCCGAGTTTGTCCTGATTTTCCAAACCCCCCTCCCCCCCCCTCGGCGCGGACATCCTTTGTTAATGGCCCCCAACTTGTCAACAAGATTTATCGCAACACGCTTGTAGCAAGCTTGTTAACAAGTTGTGACAATGCTGTTCCATCAACTTGTCAAAAAGACTTTGCGCAACAGGCTTGTTGTAAGCTTGTTAACAAGTTGTGACAATGCTGTTCCATCAACTTGCCAAAAAGACTTTGCGCAACAGGCTGTAGCAAGCTTGTTAACACGTTGTGACAATGCTGTTCCATCAACTTGTGAAATAGAATTTTCGCAAAAGGCTTGTAGCAAGCTTGCTAATACCTGACAATTCCGTTCTATCAATTTGTCAAGAATTTTTTTCGCAACAGGCTTGTAGTAAGCTTGTTAGCAAGTTGAAACAATGCCGTTCTATCAACTTGTCAAAAAGACTTTTCGCAACAGGCTTGTAGCAAGCTTGTTAACAAGATGTGACAATTCCGTTCCATCAACTTGTCAACAAAACTTTTCGCAATAGACTTGTAGCAAGATTGTTAACAAGTTATGACAATGCCGTTCGATCAACTTGTCAACAAGACTTTTCGCAACAGGGTTGTAGGAAGCTTGTTAACAAGTTGTAACAATGCTGTTTCAACTTGTCAACAAGATGTCTCCTCAACAGGTTTGTAACAAGGTTGTTAACAATTTGTGACAATGCAGTTCCATCAACTTGTCAACAAGATATCTCCTTAACAGGCTTGCAGCAAGCTTGTTAACAAGTTTTGACAACGCTGTTCCATCAACTTGTCGACAAGATGATTCCTCAACAGGCTTGTAACAAGCTTGTTAGCAAATTATGACAATGCTGTTCCAACAACTTGTCGACAAGATGTGTTTGAAATATGTTTGTAGCAAGCTTGTCAACAAGTTGCGACAATTCCGTTCTATCAACTTGTCTACAAAACTTTCCGCAACAGGCTTGTAGTAACCTTATTAACAAAGTTGTAACAATGCTGTTATTTCATCAACTTGCTACAAGGTTGTCGCTCACAACTTGTTAAGAAATTGATGAATTGCAGAACGATAACAAGTTGTGGGAACAGCTTGTAAGAAGTCTGTTGAGCTCAACAACCTTGTAGCAATTTGTCATTTCAACAATTTCTTAACAAGTTGTGAGTGACAACCTTTATAGGAAGTTGATGAAAAGCTTTCTACAAACCTGTTGCGAACGCATCTTGTTGACAAGATGTAAGATTTTTACGTGGGTACACACGCAAAAATCTCACATCTTGTAGCAAGTCTGCCAACAAGCCGTCGACAAGTTGTTTTAGCACTGCTTGTCCCGAGTTTTCCACAAGTTGGGAACAAGCTGTCCACAACTTGCAAGGGAGCACGCCAAAAATACTTGTGTAAATTTATGCTAACCTTTTAATTACATGTAAATGTTTTCAATTTTCATCGGCCGCCATTTTGAATGTTAAAAGCGGTATTAGCGTATCGCAGGCGCAATAATTTATGTTCATCTTTGACATTAATTTATGTTACACGATGATACTCCGAAGGGCGACCGAGAAAGATCCGAATTTTAAAATAAGGCGGAGAAATAATAAAAAATAAAGAGGGGAGTGAAACGACCGAACACGTGATCCACTGATGCTGGTTGACTGTTACTAGGAACATTTGATGTTGCTAGGAACAAACCGGAAACAAAATGAGACCTACTATTACGGGAACCACCGAGTATTTTAATATAATATACTGTAGAACAACAAATATAATATAATATACTGTAGAAAATAATTTTTTTTTATTATTTTCGGATTTACCGTTGATTTTACATTAGAATATATTATTAAAATTGGGGACAATGGCGAGAGTTTGTATATCAGATAAACATCGGCTGCTCGTGTTTTAACGTGCTTAAAAGACGGTCCATCATATGAGTTCATTGGCGAAGTAATTTTAAAATAAACATTGTCTAAGCCGAGAAAATCGAAGCTGAAGTTTATGTAAATGAGGACAATTTACAAATCTATTATCCGACGAGTTACATACATTGATTAAACATTCATTTCTTTTGAATTTCCTTCATGAATTATTAATACTGTATTTTGTGTCCAGCATTCGCAAATGTATTTGTTCTCTGCTGTCGAAAATTCACTGCTGGCGAGCAACGATGCAAATCAATACAAGTTTTGATATATTTCAGATTCGACAGTTCTTGGTCAACGAGCATGGCCAGATAACGAAATTGGATATACGCATTGTCATTGGCCAATACCCCATCACGTGTTCGGCCGTTTCACTCCCCTCTTTATTTTTTATTATTTCTCTGCCTTATTTTAAATTTCGGATCTTTCTCGGTCGCCCTTCGGAGTATCATCGTGTAACATAAATTAATGTCAAAGATGAACATAAATTATTGCGCCTGCGATACGCTAATACCGCTTTCAACATTCAAAATGGCGGCCGATGAAAATTGAAAACATTTTACATGTAATTAAAAGGTTAGTATAAATTTACACAAGTATTTCTGGCGTGCTCCCTTGGATTAAACAGATTGTCCTAATATCTAACTTTTCCTGGAACGCACACCTGTTTCATTGCTGTTAATTTTTCAATCCACACTGGGGGAGGGGGGGGTCAGAAAGAAGCTTATGAGGGAGGAGGCACGAAAAGTTTACCTTCACTCTGGAGAGGAGGGGGTCAAAATAACGACAAAATAGAAATATGTTTCTGATGTTGCTCTGAGTGTGTCCATACCGGGCAAGCTGAAAAGTTTGCTTGACCGCGGTAGGAATCGAACCCGCGATCTTTGGTTTGTGTTTTATTTAGTTATTTATTTGTTTATATATTTTTGCCAAATAATGCTATATCCTATATGATGTGATTGATATATTTCGCTTAAAATTGTATGACATACATAAGACATATATAAACAGATGGCATTGAGGTATAAGCCACAGCTTTGGCCAATTACAGCGGCCTATCAATCCTCGGCCGCTTTCTGGCGTTAGTGTCATTACCTATAATTAATAAAGCTGGCATAGACCGGTTCGAGTTTATACGTTATTTGTAAATTGCCTGACAAGCACTTTCAAAATGGTTCTTCACAGAGAAGTATGGTCAGTTGCAACATCTTTCTTTGTTTCATCGTAGACCAAAGGTTAATTCCATGAGTGAATTCGTCCTTAAGTTATAATTGTGCTACCATTGTACCTTAGGTCAATAAGAAACAAAGTAGGGGAAAAACGGGAAAAGAGAAACAACAAAAGTTAGATGATGATAAAAAAATGGATGTGTAGAATGGGAAAATGAAGAAAGATAGTGATAAAGAAGGACGAAAATGAATTGGGCGAATGATAGTAGAATATGAGACAGGGAAGGAAGAAAGGATTATTAGGAAGATATGATGATAGTAAAATTTCATTATGTTGGTATACAGTATACCATGCCTTCTTTTGTACCAGCAGTACTTTTAAGAAACTGATCGATGGAAACGTGTGGAGTCGGTATAACAGAATTACGTTCTGCGTTGTGGTTAACCCAGTCTTCTATAGCACATGAACAGGATATTTGAACATATTCCTACAATAGATGCCGCCAATGCGCTGGAAAATGGTTACCAAAGTTTTGTTTTCTGTTTACTTCCGTCAGTATAGGATCTGATACTGCTTTAATATCGACCAAAATATACAATTCTTAGCTTTTTACAAACATCTCGTCGAACACGTTTCATATATGAATATCAAGCATTGAATTCGGTAGTTGCGACTAAATCTCATTTCTTGACTAGCCATGTGGTTCACTATCAAAATACTCCCAAAATACTGTTGAGCGATTGAAATTAAGTGGTGGTGGTTGTGATGCTATAGGATCACTGCCTTCACAAGACATAATGATACAAAGGCAACTCGTTCTATCAAATTTTAATACAATATACAACGATGATTCATGGTTGTATATATTGCTATGTTCGAATTCGGTGTTGCATACTCAGAATTGCAGAATAATCGAAAGCTAAAAATGTTTACATGATCGACAAGTCCTTTATCATGGAAATCAGTGCCCAGCATGATGTACTTAAAGAGCCATCACAAAACTGGCCATGCAAAGTCAAATTTTAATAGCCCTGACTTGTCTCAAACGGAATTCTTTTTTCAAACCTTCACAAACTCGGAAACTCATCTCGATTGAAGCCTTCTTCGCAAGCGCATCGCCTATAGATTAGCAGGCAGAATTTGGTTGCGGGCAAAGAATGTTAGTACGCCATTGTATTGGCATGCTATGTTCTTGATTGTCAATTCAAAATGAAAAGCGGAATATCATGCAGTCATTTAGCCTTATTGGTTTATCTCTCAAAAGGCAACATCTCTCAAAAGGCAAATATTCTGCAATTGTGAAGGAAATCATTTAAACGCTGAAATGCTTTCAAATTTTATTTGAATTCTTTGTAATTCTACTTACAGACCCTTACGGTTAAGATGTTTGTACTTGGAGTACAAGTCTATATTAAAGCAAACTAGACAACTCAACTTTGTTTTAACAATTGTTACTGATTGGTCCAGTGTTACAAGAATAAACTATATACGGTATTCTATTTGTGCAAACGAAGACCATTAATTTATAACCTAATTTACACCGTGCATTCGAGTAGAAAAATAATTTGATTGAGAAAAAAATTTCTGCGACTGCGACCTAAAAGAAAGGCACTCAGATAACTAGTTTGGCTTCAAAGTTTTTAGTTCAAGTCCGACAGACAGACGTCTAACAAAAATTAAATTTGTCAAAAATGTTTCTGATTTTGAAACATCTCTAACGTATATACAAACACATGTACAGTGTAAGTGTTGATTAAATACTCAGATAATGTAAACAGGATTTTCAGTTTCCGGTCTAAAAATGTTTTTCCTTCAGAGGAAAACCGGTTGCAACATCTTTTGCCATTCCATCATGCACCCAACGTTTTTTCAATGAGTATTTAATACATGTCCGTTTGCCGATTTTTCTGCAACTATAAAATAAGAGAACAGACGTTGGTAAGGAAGGAATACGGAAAGGGAAACAGGAAAAATCGGACGGTAGTTTAAGTAGTTAGGTAGGAAGTCAGAATGGATGGAGAAAAAGGAAAATGAAGAAAGTTCATGATTTAAAAAATTCAATTTCATTTTGCTATAGAAGAATGACTACCTTTTGTGTTTTCCGCTTCTCAGTGCCAGGTTTCGAGAACAACAGGGGATTTGAACATATTGTGTACGACAGATGCTGCCATAGCACTAGCAAATCGCTTCCAAAGTTTCGCCACCTCGGCTGAATCACTCTCACCTGCCAAAGTTGATACACCTCTTATAATGGTCCATTCCATCTTAAGATCATGTGCCGCTTTATATAGACCTAAAATTTAAACACAAAATGAAAAACACTTGATGCGATGAGAAGACATGATAATTTTATAGACTTTCGCCTGACGTATTCACAAGCTGAGTTATGCACACGAGCCTTTCACATTCAGGCTAAAAATTTTAAGAATTTCTAACCGGTTAACAAATTTATTCGCTAGCTTGAAGCCTTTCTGGTGTGGAGTACGCGGATGGTAGAACCACTCACTGGTAGGAAGTTTCCACCTACCTATTCCCCCTATTTCAATAGCAATTGCATCTGGAAAAAGATTTTTTAAGTCTTCAAGCTGTCTTCCACAATATTTAATAACATCTGGGACACTTAACATCAAAGCTTGTCGGTGAACGTCGACTTCAAAATTAGTCGTGTCTTTTAATGGTGGATTCCAACCATCAGCCGCATACAGATTAAGTTTTGCCATATTCCGACTCACTGGGTTTGCCGTATTCGAAACAACATCTGCCAATCTTGCAGAAATCACAACATCGCCACGTTTTGCCTTCTCCGGTTTCATGGCTTCACAGATCCCGACCAAAAGGGCGACTTTGGGGCACAAAATTCCAGCAGCATTTGTCACAGCCGTCTGAGTATCGCTCGCTCCATTTGAACGTCTCATCAATGCAACTTTCACATATTCATCATTATCATCACCAAATCGCCCAAAATCTACCATTCCGAGTTTTTTAGAGTAAGCCCGTTTAACCTGCTTCATATGTGAATAGCAAGCAATAAATGCATCGTCATCTGATATTAACAGAATATCTGTCGAGTAGAGTTGTTTCTGAATCTCTTCACTTGACCACCTATATGCATTGTTATCAACATTCCCCCTTGTTGTTAGGAGTGGAAAATTGAGATCTGGTGGTGTTCTTGTATAATTATTGTTTTCACATGACATAGTAATGATAAAAAATTACCTCGCAAGTTTCAATCGTCTACAAAGTTTTCATATTTTTAACAACGATGATTCAGGGTTGTATTGCGAGGTATTGAAGTGGCTGGACGCCATGCTGTTCATGCTCAGCATGCCAAAATAATACAAGCTCAGCTGAGACGGCGTTTAGCCCCCCCCCCCAATAATTTTTCTCATACACATATATAGACACTTTTCGCCAGCACAATGTACGTAAAAAAGGAAATTTTAAAACGTTTTATTTAAGAGCTAACGTTTCGTCTCTGAGTCAAGTCATCGTCAGTCTCAAGTGTAAATAATTCAGGATATTTTTGTGGTCAGAGACAATTTTTAAGATGAATGAAGTCGATGGCGTCACAAGTAATGACTCACAAAACATAAGCTAAAGGCTGAACAGTTGACTTTGTGATGTGTTTTTAATTAAAGTACATCAATGGCATTGCCATCGATTTTCATAACAAAAGCCTTTAAAGTATATCATGCTGGGCACTGATTTTCATAACCAGCATGAAGTCCACCCACTAGAAAACGATACTGCGTCGCAGTATCAATCACACTTTATTGAACGAGATAGTCTTTTTATCATTATGTCTTGGCAAGGCAATAATCGTGTAGCAACACCACCAGAACTCAATTTCACTCTCAAAACAGAGAGTGACTTTAATAACCAACCACATGACTGGCCAAGAAATGAGATTCAGTCACAACTACCGACAGATATTCTGCTAATAACAGCAAATATTCATGAATCGAGTGCTTGTTATTCATATATGAAACCTGTTCGACAATGGTATTGTAAAAAGCTACGTAGATGTGTATATTTTGGTCAATTTGGCGATAATGATGATCAGAATGTGAAAGTTGCATTGATGAAATGTGAACTGGGATATAATGAGGGTAAGTTAGCTATGAAAAATGCTGCTGAAATTTTAAAGCCAAAAATAGCCCTTTTTGTCGGTACTTGTGCAAGCAAGGAACCGGAGAAGGTAAAATATTGAACGAGATAGTCTTTTTATCATTATGTCTTGGCAAGGCAATAATCGTGTAGCAACACCACCAGAACTCAATTTCACTCTCAAAACAGAGAGTGACTTTAATAACCAACCACATGACTGGCCAAGAAATGAGATTCAGTCACAACTACCGACAGATATTCTGCTAATAACAGCAAATATTCATGAATCGAGTGCTTGTTATTCATATATGAAACCTGTTCGACAATGGTATTGTAAAAAGCTACGTAGATGTGTATATTTTGGTCAATTTGGCGATAATGATGATCAGAATGTGAAAGTTGCATTGATGAAATGTGAACTGGGATATAATGAGGGTAAGTTAGCTATGAAAAATGCTGCTGAAATTTTAAAGCCAAAAATAGCCCTTTTTGTCGGTACTTGTGCAAGCAAGGAACCGGAGAAGGTAAAACTTGGCGATGTTGTCATTTCCGCAAAGTTAGGGACTTATGATAGAGAAGTCATGCCTGATGGTACAGTGGACTATCGCGGTGCAAAAGTGAGTGAAACCGTGGCTCCTCTTATTCTGAGTGCAGCTGATGGTTGGGAACCACCATTAAAAGACCTAAATAGTTTAAACGTCGAGGTTTATCGTGACGCTGTAATATTAAGTGGCTCAGATGACAATCATAAAAGACAAGAAGATTTAGTGGATTATTGCCGAGATGGACTTGGTCTTGAAATGAAGAGTGCAGGTAAGTAGAATTTGACAGCCTGATATAATCAAATTAGATTAAATGTAAATCGAATTCAAGAGGAGGGGCGAATATTGTTGTATATTTCTTGTGAGCTTGAATAACCCAGAATGTGATAAGCCGAAATATTCAAATTGTCCAATAAACTAACAGCTTTTGTACCGTGTTCATTGAAATGAATATAACTGGAACGCTACCTTCTGAAGAACTGCCTAACTTTTTCTTGAAGCCAAATCTGACCCCCCAGACACGCATGTCTGAAGGTAAGATCACGCCTGTTTATATCATGTTGGACTAATTGAACGATCTTCGCATGCGTGAAAAGATTGGGACTAGCTTTCAAGTTTAGCCTCAAACAGATGGTGTGTCTATTGCCATCCCTCACGTGATTTTATTGCCACCCATATTTTTGAAAATGGGGGGATGGGCCAGCTTGGATTTGAGTGATTATATAGATTTGCATTATACTCACTTCCATGGCCGTGGTATACTATAGTATACCACGCGTGACGCGTGGACACCATGCGCTTAGCCTAACGAAAAATCTGGCGCATGCAGTGTTGCCTAAATTACTTTGAATTTGTACTCGAGTAAAAGTAAAAGTAAAAGTAATTAACAATGAAACGACTTGAGTAAGAGTAAAAAGTACTGGAGACAAAAGTAAAAATTAAGGAGTACTATGGTCTGTAAGGGGAGGGGGGGACTTCTCCAATGGATTGACATACGAAAGTCAAAACAACACACGCATTATATGCGTGCACCAAATATACAATATTTCACGTTATCGGTCTACTTTCCAAACCCCGTTGAATAATAAGAAATCCATGAAATAAATAATGCTTATATATAACCTTAATTACCTATCCCAAAATTAATATAAATCAGGAATAAATCACGTAGAATACTATTGTTTGTGAAAACACCACGTAAATTTACGTGGTTTTTCCACAAGCAATATGTGTTTTATTGCCATGCAAACCTACAAAGAACTTAAATCACGTAACATTAAACAAAATTTTGAAAGTAACGAAATACTTCGCCACAAAATGATAATATTAATAACGAAGTAAAACGTTACGACTTTGTTCCAAGTAAAAGTACTCCAGAAAAAGTTTACTTTGTTACATGCTGACTTCTCAAAAATTGTACTTAAGTACAGTTATGCCTAGTTTCCATATGGTCATAACGGTGGTAAAGATCAAGTCTTGATCTTTCTCATCAGCCGAAATACAACTTTTTAGAACTGAGAATACGCGGAGTAATTATAACTAGAGAATACTTATGTGGTTTACAGGTATAAACTATTATAAACTGGCCGTTGAGAAAGATCGTGACTCTATTTTTACGACCACTATGACCATATGGAAACCAGGCTTAACGAAGGTTAAATTAAATTAAGGTGAAGGATATGCTCTTTGTTGTAATCGATGTATACTCTCAATACCCTGAAGTTGAAATTTTACGCTCCACCTTCACAAATACAGTCATCCCGAAACGTAATCGCTTCTCCGCTCGTGTTCCAAGATCCGCCATGTAAATGTGTAGTGAAATGTATCTCAATACTAATCGTAATCATAGCCAACAGAAGCCTCTGGGGAGGAGAGAGTACCCATGGTATTTCAGCTGAAATCAAATCTGACAAGGCTTTCCCCGTTTAAAGTCACGTTTTTGCGCAGTAGATGGGTCTTCGATATCAGCAACTTTAACCCCGAGTGGCCAAAACTGGCAATTCCGAATCTGAACGTTTCATGCTAAACCGAAAGCAACGAATATTACTCCTCCCAGTTCTCTTCAAGATGGATTTCCTAATGCATCCGAATACGACGAGAAATGGTATTTCATTTTGTGCTTAATAAATTTTAGATATCTATGCAGCAGCAAATGATCTTAAGATGGAATGGGCTGTTGTAAAAGGAGTATCGAGTTTTGCAGGAAGTGGAGACATGACAAAACCTTGGCAGTCATTTGCTAGTACAATGGCAGCATCTGTCGTATACAACATGTTCAAAAACCCTGTTGTGCTAGAAGATTGGCCTCACAACGAAGAAACGCAAGACGCAAAAGGTAATTATTCGTTTTTGATTGGAATGAAATTGCCATAAAGGCCGAGGCCGGGTTAATAGTCTAATTGTTTTAGTATCGACTCCTAACTCTGAAGCACCAAATACGATTGGACAACGCCGCGCGTTGTTCCGATTTTCACTGACAATGGAGTGACTTGAGTTGTTGATATGTTTAAATTAATGTAATGTAACATCAGGATTGGCATGATAGGGTGGGGTATTGGGGTGGGTTTCGGATGCAAGTGGTTGGATTTCTTGTTTATGCGCCAGGATGTTTTAACCGAGGTTGTAGGTTATGGAATTGTTCTGTCTGATAATTAGGTGTAGGTAGTTATTTCGCATATAAGTTATTTGAAACGAGCTGAGTCAATACTTCCCACAACTTGACGTTAAAATGACATTTCATTTTCTTATTATATAGTTTCTACTTTTGGGTGTTTTCCTATCTTTAATCTAATAAGGATGCGTTGTTGGCGTATCATCATGATCTGGGACGCACCTAGGAAAGGGAGCGTCCACCATTATTCTGATTGAAGCTAAATGTATCAACAGTCATTATACACATTGTTTTAAGTACTACTTAAAATATTCGCATTGCGAATGGCATTTACAATGTTAAATGCCCATAAAGTAAAGATCAGTTGCGAATATTTTAACGTACTTGTAAAATGAATTTATTCTTCGCATGCGCGAGAAACGTAAGCGTGGAGTGCACGTGAGCGCGGGTTAATCGCGTGACTGAATTCTAAAAACAAACACCAAATTTGCCAAAACTACTCGTGTTATGAACTCGTTTTTTTGTTTTTTTGTTGTTTCTATGCTCATAATTTCAAGCATTTTCGACTTAGAAGTGTTTGCTTTGGAATAAGAACGTGAAAGTAGAAAAAAAACTTTGTTGCAGCAGTTTAATTTCGCCGTACAAATATACCTGTTTTATATGCATATCTTTTTTAAAGTGAGATATACAAGTGCAATTCAAATTGACCTTCTTTAAATTCGTACTTGCCCTATTTTTGACTCCATAAAAACTACTTTTATCCATGGAGAAACTATTTGACTTTAAAAATAAGCTTGAATTATGCAGGTGATATAGCCTAGTTTCTTTGCAAACATCCATGAACAAAAAGGAATGGCGCTTATTACTACTCGTTAGAAGATAGACAATTAGTTTAATTCACTAGGAAGCCGTTCTACAATATAAACTAGAAATCGGCAAACGTATTGTCACGAAATACTACAATTAAAATAGGGTCTCAAAACTACCGACTTCACCGAACGGTCAGGTTTCTCTGCAAAGATCGCCCCTTTGCCCAATTTTCATAGAGTAGATCGTCGTGTCTTCAAGTCAAGGATTGTGTATACTTTAACATAAAAGAATGAAAAAAGTGGTGATAAATATGGCGCGTCATCGGTGTCAAAAATGCTATTCTATTTTAAGATAAGATTTTCATTTTCATATAACAATATAAATTTTGGATAACACACAATTGTTCATATAACGCTGTAAATTTTGGATAACACACGACTTTTCATATAACGCTATAAATTTCGGATAACACACGACTTTTCATATAACGCTATAAATTTCGGATAACACACGACTTTTCATATAACGCTATAAATTTTGGATAACACACGACTTTTCATATGACGCTATAAATTTCGGATAACACACAACTTTTCATAACGCTATAAATTTTGGATAACACACGATTTTTCATATAACACTTTCAATTTTGGATAACACACGATTTTTCATATAACACTTTCAATTTTGGATAACACACGATTTTTCATATAACACTTTCAATTTTGGATAACACACGATTTTTCATATAACTTTAATTATGATCCTTTGCGAGCTTACGGGCTGCTAGAGCACGTGGGCAAGGATTTTATACATCGCTGAATTTAAAATCTAAATATTTCGCAAATCTTAAATTATGACAGCCTCTAGCGAAAATATTAGTGGGAACACAGCTATAGGGAACTTTTGAAAAATTGTGCCAGTAATCTTGACGAAGCGTCGCGATTGTTATTAAACGAGGAAAATGCCCAGAGTGATGGTCGGACAACCACTATGAAGTACGCATGAGATTCAACATGACATTCAACATGATATTCGATATGGTGTGAACTCACTCATTTCAATTACTCAGAAGTAAAAATGAAAAATATAGCCATTTCTTCTCTTCCAAATGAATTAGAAAGAAAGAAATCATACAATTCGTATTAACTAATTAATAACTTTATGTTTTATTGCACACAAACCAACAAACGCGCCAGTAACATTAACCTAACAATTACCCCCGGTAGCTGCCTCAAATGCAAATTTAAGATTGTTATGAATAATAGGTTCTCCCACTCTAATCTCTTTTGGGGAGCTTCGCTCACCCCAATTTTACTTTCTTTTCCATTACGCCAGCACGTAAGTGATTTGTGAGAAAAATAAGAGGTCTGGAGTCCTCCCCCAGAAAACGTTTATATTTTTGATGCTCAATTAATGACAGCAATTCTGGAATTTTCTGGAGCATCCATAAGGGTAACGAGTAAATGAGACGACTGTTTTAATTAAGGCTATTATTGTTAGTTTGGTGACTGCACATTTGAGTTTTACTGTAAGGACCGCACAAATGGATTTAGAACTGCACATTTGTGTAAAACTGCATGTTAAAATAAACTCTGGCGCGTTTGTTGCTTTGTGTGCAATAAAACATAAAAGTATTAATTAGTTAATACGAACTGTATGATTTATTTATTTCTAATTCATTTGGAAGAGAAGAAATGGCTTATTTTTCATTTTTTGTTCTGAGTGATTGAAATGAGTGAGTTCACACCATATCGAATATCATGTTGAATGTCATGCGTACTTCACAGTGGTTGACCGACCACCACTCTGAGCATTTTCTTCGTTTAAAAACATTCGCGACGCTTCGTCACGATTACTAGCACAATTTTTCAAAAGTTCCCTATAGCTGTGTTCCCACTAATATTTCCACTAGAGGATGTCATAATTTAGGATTTGCGAAATATTTAGATTTTAAATTCAGCGATGTATAAAAACATGTGTATGTACTATAAAAATTTCAAGTTCCTTGCCCACGTGCTCTAGCAGCCCGTACTAAGCTCGCAAAGGATCATAATTAAAGTTATATGAACAATCGTGTGTTATCCAAAATTGAAAGTGTTACATGAAAAATCGTGTGTTATCCATAATTGAAAGTGTTATATGAAAAATCGTGTGTTATCCAAAATTTATAGCGTTATATGAAAAGTTGTGTGTTATCCGAAATTTATAGCGTTATATGAAAAGTCGTGTGTTATCCAAAATTTACAGCGTTATATGAAAAATCGTGTGTTATCCAAAATTTATAGCGTTATATGAAAAGTCGTGTGTTATCCGAAATTTACAACGTTATATGAACAATTGTGTGTTATCCAAAATTTATATTGTTATATGAAAATGAAAATCTTATCTTAAAATAGAATAACATTTTTGACACCGATGACGCGCCATAGATAAAGGGTAGATTTTGAATAAAATACGAATATCTGTATGCGCGCAAGATCTGAGCGTTATTATCAAGCACTCGATATTTTTCCAACAACATATTGGGCTTAATTGTTTACAATATTAAAACTTACACATTAAAGATATGAAAATGTAGCTTGCATTACAAAGAAATGTTGGCTTACCTAAATTATACCTTCCACGTCGATTAAAGTCAAGTAAAGCCCTTTCAAAGACGCGTGCCACATTATACTACAGGTCACATGGCGGTAGAGAACTCGACGAAGTATTCAGGATATTTCATAGCCACGCGCGCCGGTGAGCACTATTCCTGTGAATTATGATGCCCAACACACCGGGTAACAAAATTTACCACTTTGTTTGGCCGTTCCAAGTACACTTTTAATTTAAGATACAAGGTCCAATTATATCATGTTCTTCGAAGCATCTGCTCAAAACGGTCCAACATAAATATCGCCACTCATCTTCTTCGTATGAAAATATAAGTTTTCCCTTCAATTTCTTTGCTTTAAAAACAGTCATTAGGTTGTTGAAGAGTTAGTCTATAACTTCCAACAAAACAAGCAAAGATGCTTTCAAAAACCAGTGAATCACAATGCTGTAAACTTCAAAATCCTTAGAAGTTGTAAGCAAAACATCGAAAAGCAAATTTTGCGGGAAAAAGCTCACGAGCCCGCACTATTTTCATGCAGCGTGGACGAAAGTCCCCTCTGTTTGTTTAGTTTATTTACTTAGTATTCACTGCCCATGGGGACAATCTCACGCTTCATTAATTAGCATGCATTTAAAATCTGAATTAGTATTGATAACTTTCATAAACATCCCTAAGTCCATCACTTTCATAAACATCCATTGGTCGAAATCGATGTGCCTGTCAATCAAATTTTATAAGTAGTAATTTTGTATAAACAAGACGCCTGCTCAGGCGTTCACACTGGCCTGAAAATAACGACATACGTGCTATGGTGCAAAAGGCAAGGATACAAATCTCAGTAAACCGCAAGCAAATTTGATGGACTTTTTAAAAAAATAAAAGACCTTTTCGGGAGACGTAATGGTGCAAATCTATAACTAGGAGCTAGGAAAGTGCTGCCTTTTTGGCATATGAACTGAATGCAACAATTTATACTCCTAGACAATTCTCGGTTATATCCCCAATATTTCCTGCACAAATTTGTTTCTCGTTCATCATTTAAGCCCGTTCACACTCTCATTCTTAAATTGTGTGCACGGAATACGAGTAAATAGCCAACATGAAAATGAAGCCATTGGGTCAAAAGTGGATTTTAGATTAAGATACCCCGGTTTCGTGTACGGGTAGCATGATTTTAGTTAGCAATATTTTCGTCGATGTCTGTACCGTTACTCGTAATTAAGGTGCACATTTTTTGCATTATATCATTGTCTATTGCAAGAAAGCAGAAAAAGTGTGATCGAATTACAGACATCAGTAAAACAAGATGACACTACTCGTACCCGTACACCGAAACCGGGGTATCTTAACCTCTTTATTAATTAAGGTCTATTAACCTATTAGCTGCCAATGCACACTGCTTTTGTATTAACTCTGGCTAACGCCAGACCAATTTACACTGTGTAACGCCAGACGATTTTTGCACCCTGCTTTAGTATTAAAGAGCAATTCTTCAGAATTTGCTCAGAGTCAATGTGAGTAAAATACATCTTGTATTCAAGCGCTTTCATGTACAAAGTTTCGTTTGAATACGGCACAGAGTAGGAATATTTATTTTGAATTTTTCAAAATATCGGGTTTTTACTCACACGCACGCGCCACGTTTATAGCTCGATCGATGCACGTGCAAATCATGCCGACCTACAGAATCGATTTCCGGTTTTTCCTAAATTAAACAGCGCGTTGTTTTGATGTACGTTCCATTGGCCGCGCTAAAAATATAAATAATCTGTAAATTTAAATACCGAAATAAAAGATGAAAATCTCAAGACACAAGCTTGAAAATAACACTATAAATAGTGTTTTAGATTCTGGTTCCAATAATATCATTACGAAAAAGATATGTCCAAAGGGGCCGAAGTTATGTTCGGCAAAATGTCTGGCTAGTTTACATTGTTTGTTATATTATGAAATATGATACCATACTTGTATTAAAATTCGCGTCGAACTAATGTTATTGCATTAGGCAAATGAGTAGACTTGCCACAAGTCGACCTCGAACGAAATGCGTTTCTTCGAGGTCGACTTGTGGCAAGTCTAGCAAATGAGAACCATACAATAATGGTTCTAGTTCTTGTTGGTATTTTGAACGCACGCTTTATCTTTACTATAGCTACCACAAAGCTTTTCGCGCAGATTATATTTCGGTTTCGCATAGACAAGTCGACCTCCAAAACGCAAGCACGCGCAGTACTAAAATTTCCGCACCCAGCGGCCAGCGCTACGCGAATTCTCTTATTTCTAGTACGGCGCGGATTTTAATACATGTATTTAAAGGTATATTGCCGACATTTGACTAAAACTATCGTAAGGAATTAGGAGAGTTTGTCCTTGTTTATACTCCGATATATTGTATAAATACGCTGGGTACAAATTTATGAAATTTTGGGGTTTTCGAGTCGTTTAATTTAATACAAAAAGAAAAACATTAACTGGCAACAGGCAAAAAAGTTCAGAGTGCGACGCAAAAATTAACACAAGTACACAACGGATGTTATAAGTCCACAACGTATATTTAAGTCAAATTGTCAAATATCCTTCTATAGTTCTATATATCGTATAAATTCGCTGGGTCCAAATTTTGTGGTTTTCGAGTCGTTACACAAAGAAAAACACATTAATTCAACACGCAAGAATGTCCAGATTACGACACAACGAACAATCCATAGGAAACCGGCACAATTCTTTGAAAATTCAACGAAACTGTGTAAAATATAGTTTGATCACTCTGTGAAAAGCCGCCATTGGGGTTCGGAATTGTGCGCGTGCGTACAAGTGTATGGGCTAATAAACGAAAAATGTACCACAAGCATGGCACAGTCGGCTATTACGTACATAAATACGAGCTTATTACTATACAATATAAATCACGGAACCGAGGGAATCGATGGCATTTTGGCTTAATCGTTGCACCCTGCGCCTGCGATGAGCTAACGCAAACTCGATTTCTCGACTACGAAAAAAACAGGAAAACACAGGAAAAAAAACAGAAAAAGAGGGATTTAAGACACTTGGCCTACAGGCCAGTGTAATAATTTCCAGTGAATGCCGATTTTAAACTTCTTATCCGGCGATAAGCGACATTTTGACGATTTTACAACTCAATTGTTTATAACGTAAATATCTCAGTGCGTATTCACCCCCCTTTAAAACAAAGAATACCATTGAAATCCTAATAAAATAACCTTTTCAACGGAGGTTCGAATGCCGTCAAAACATTACACAAACCGAAACAATCATATATTTACTCACCGCTTGGCCAAAAATTCTGAATTTTGTTTCCACAATAGCTTAAATATCTTGTGAATTCTTCAGAGTTCATCACAAATCAATATGAGTGAAATATTCCTTGTATTCAAGCGCTTTTATATCCACAATTTCATCGGAATAAAGCCAGTAGAAATGTTTATTTTTTCAATGTTTAAAGCATAGTTAATAGAATAGATGGTTTGAAAACTCATTAGAATAACAACATAACTCATTATCTACAGTCGTGTTTACACTACCAGCCTTCGCCTAGCCTTGGCCTACATTTTGACAGTGTATACAGACTTTGGCCTTAGCCTTGGCCTGACCTAGGCCAGGAAATCTGGGCCGACTACAACCGGCGGCCTAGGCTTGTGGGAATGTAAACTCTTTCGGCCCTGGCCTGTCGACAACCAGCGGACAACGTCACAACACATAAAAATACACAAAATTAATTACAAAATTCTAGGCCAAAGTGAGCCAGTCTCAAAAAAGTAGTGTAATGGTGTAAACGCGCCACATTTACCTTGGCCTGGCCAAGGCTAGGCCAAGGCTTGTAGTGTAAACACGACTTATGTTAGTCGACGTTTATTCATGAACCTGGTCGTTCACCGTCACGTGCGTATTGTATTTTTACCAAATCTACCAAGAGCAATTTTCAATTTACCCTATTGTTCGAGTCATGGATAGGCAACTTTCCTAAAACATTGCTATTGGTTAGTTGGGCAAAAATACAACACGCACGTGACGGTGACTAACATAGATAATGAGTTATATTGTTATTCTAACAAGACGCCCGCTAGGCGTTAATCTATAGCCTGCAGCACACGAGAGCTATCTGCTGAGCAAAAAGTTACTCGTGCCTGTTAGCTCAGCCGATAGCTCACCGTGTGCGCATACATTTTACTGAGTTTTTTGCCTCATGCAACCTTTTCTCACGTATCAAACATGTTTGATCGGTGAGCTATCAGCTGAGCTAACAGGCACGAGTAACTTTTGGCTCAGCAGATAGCTCTCGTGTGCGGCAGGCTTATGGTCGGTGCATAGAGCATCGTCTGGTAAATATGCAAAAATCGTGTAAATCACGATAGTTTAATAGTTCACTAGTGTAAATGGTGAATCAGTCAATGAAAGCTCCGTTTTAACATTTTATTGATAATAGTTAAATACAGGAACAATTTAGAGAATTTATTGACGCAATTATTTAACTGTATTTATTCATTATTTGGGATATTTTGTGGACGAGTGAATGATATACATAGCTACTTCACTACTTCATCTTGTATTTAGTAACACTAACAGACAATATTATCAGTCTATTTGTTGATTGACGCACATAGCAGAACGACAGTCACTTCAGATATTTTTAAAATATATCAAAGTACCGAAAATATAATTAGGTGCATATAACTAACCACCATTAGTAATAGTTGTACCACAGTCGAAAAATGTAATGAGTGTCCACTGGCAAAATTGTTGTCTACCAGTTACAGTAAGAACCATCCATAAAATGCTTAGCTTAACAGTATCAAACAAGTGAAAGTTGGCCGCGGCATTCCCATGCTATGCATACGAAGTGTTGTACATTATATCAACATATACTCGAGAATAGTTATCCAGCTAAACATGTATATCAAAATTATCACATCTTCTGGTTTTAAATCAACAATTTTGACGGATTTTGTGCAAGGACAGCTTCGGGTTCCGTTTCGTTTTGGCCGATGCTTGAAATTTCCCGGAAGTACACTTATTTACCGGAAGTTGTCGTCTCCTCCGCAGGCTCTTCGACTACGCGCGCGGCTCGACACAAAATGGGAAAAAAATAGGAGCCGAATTTATGACCTCGGTGTCGTACCGATCCGAGGTAATGAGTTTCCAAACCATCTATTCTATTAACTATGTATGCACGACAGCCTGTTGGATTTCCATAGCGTTTTTTTAGACACCCTGTACTAATGAAAATAACTGACTTTCCGTATATAGCTGGATTGTTAATTTTACTAAACATGAGAAATCGTCCAGACCTAGAATGAGAACTACGTTGTCGGGGAAAAACAATAAATAGAAACCGCCAGAAAGACCAAATTAAAATCCGATCAGATAATTGTTTAATAATATATACCTTTGGAAGCCTTGAAATGTTTAAAGACATAGTAGATATTACCACAGTGATATCACATTAATTATTACTTCCGAATAATTGAAACCTCATAAGAAATTAACAGGTTAAAAATGTAGCATGCAGTTTAGAATATATTTAACCGATTCTAAGGCCCTTCCGTTTGGCGCCAAATTGACTATAGTTATATAACTATTAGATACGACTTGATAATGGCTCGTAGAAAGAGAAATCAAACAAACTCTCTCATTCTGAAATATTCTTAAGCTATTGAACTGTCTTATTGCTTCGACGGTGAAATTCGTTGGGAGAAATTCTGGAAGCCACTAACGCTTAATGCAACTGTATTTGAGTTAAACCTGTGCTATTAGCTGGAGATATAAAGCAAGCGTTTCTTCAGATAGTTATCAGAGAAACCGAACGCGACGGTTTGAGGTTCCTGTGGATAAATAACTTGCACACCAGAGAAGAGAAGATCTACCGCATGACAAGACTTATGTTTGGTCTGGGTCCAAGTCCTTTCATTCTTGGAGGGACATTGAACGTTCACCTAGAGAAGTACTCACAAGATCATCCGGTTTGTGTTCGAGAGCTTAAAGATGGTACATACGTGGACGATATAAACATTGCAAGCGACACAGTGGAAGAAACGAGAGAAATTAAAGAAGATGCTGTAAAAATCCTGGGAGGTGGGTTCATGTTACATAAATGGCATTCGAACGCCGCAGAATTAGAAAGTGATGTAAAGGAAGATGGAGAAACTGCCTATGCGAAGGAAAGTCTAGGAACAACACCATCGGAGACCAAACTTCTTGGATTAGGCTGGAACAAATCAGAAGACACTTTGTCAGTGACATTTCCATCAAACGAAAATGAAGTTACGAAAAGAATCGTTCTGAGAACTATGGCAAAAATCTATGATCCGCTGGGATTAGCAGCTCC